AACGACTCTCGTGGAGTCAGTCTTCTGGGTGCGGATGGACCGCCCGCAAAGCCCGCGGAGCCGAGCAGCGTCACCAACCCTTTCGTTTCGCCGAGTCACCGCCAACAACGGGTCAATACGACAGTGCCGCTCTCGGGGCGTCATTTCGAGTCACGCTTGCCGCGTAAGGGGGTCACCCACCCCCTGAAGGACCTGAATGTAGCAAAGGTAACCTCGAAGGTAACCCTCAGAGCAATCCGCCTAAAGGCAGGCAACCAATGCACCTAGATGTAGGCAACCCTCAGAGCAATCCGCCTGAATCTAGGCAACCCTCAGAGCAAACCTACTAAAGGTAGGCAAACGACAGTAAAATCTGCCGTGAGAGGGCAAAAAGGTGCAACATGACCCCTCTGAAGGCAAATCCTGGGGCAGTACGCGCCTGCATGTGCCTCCTGAGCTAAATTGCGCGGCAAAATTAACTCGCTGCATTCCCCCCCCCCTTTTTAAACCTCCTTCTATCCCTGCGTGTCTTTACGCAACGCGCCTCTAGTCATACAGACAGGCGTGAATGTAACCATGCAGGAGGGGTTGGTATGGACCCGTTGATAAAAAAAATCAAAAGAGGTTCATTCGCGCACACACACACTCACAAATACACACACACACACACACACACACAGATGCAGGAACGTGTATAGGTATAATCTGTCGAGCGCGGAGTGTCCGCGTCCCGTCCGTCTCACCCCTCGGCTTGGCTTCGCGCGGCGTGGCGGGGCAGCGTTTAATACACAGCAGTTTGTCAACACAATTTGTAGTGCAGCTTCATATTTGGTACGAGAGGCATGACCCCGCCGCGTAGCCGCGCATAATGCCGGGGGAGGGGAGCGCGGCGGACGGACGCGGCGGACGGACGGGTGCGATCAGTTTATCATCACATATTGGGCCGCGTGACGGCGAGCGCGGCGACTCATTCCGAGAGGCTCTGTCTCTCTCGCACTCATACGCTTCACCCCGTGAGTGCGAGAGAGACAGAGCGACGAAAGCGGCCTCTCGGAATCAGTGTGTGCCAGACAATGCGATGCGGAGGCCGCGGAGGGTGGGCGAGGACCATTAGTAGTCTCCCAATGAGGTCCAGGGCACTACCAGCACACCTTGCGCTGAGGGTGGGGGCGTCTGGGAAACGGCCCGGCCAAAGTACACTACCCATTCCCCACTGAGGTATGCCGTGCAGTCATGATACTTAGCTATGGGTGCTCGCCGCGACACGACAAATCTATCATAGTCCATTGAGAAATTGGTTTTGTAACATAAGCGACTGATCTCATGATACTGATAAACATTCACCATAGGTTTACTACTTTCGCTGTGCTGTCATAGTAATAGGCCTCTTGTCCGTATTACGAGGAAAAAAGCTGAGTGGGAACTTGCGAGTGTAAGGGCAGCAACACCCTTTTCACTAGAGGGGGCCAAAATAAAACGGTGATCAAAAAAAAGTTTAGTTTATTATTTTTTTTCATCTCGACGTGAAAATGGAAACGAAATCACTTTCTTTGCCCAGTTTGAACGTTGGCAGGCATTGGCTCCCGAGAGCAAAAGGGGCAGGGCAAATAATTACGCACTTCTCCATGAATAATTTCATGAATTTCATGCACCACCATGTATTTCATCAGCATGCTGACAATCACTGTTATCGCCGTTTGCCGAACCGATTCGCGCGCAAACCGACCGGCAATGCAAATTAATCCCAAACTGCAGTTGCACGACGGTCGAAACTCGTGTTCCGCCTCGCTGTTTCAATTACTTCATTTCCTCGTTGACAACTTGATAAATCCGCGAAGGGACGCGACGCGATGCGACGCATTTAGCAAAAAGGCCACTCCCTCCCCTCTTTTTCCTTCCTTCCTTTCCTTCGCCAACCTTCCCTCCCCGATCCGACCTCGCCGCCTCGCCACATTTCGATAAATGAGGGTATTGGACAACAACTCAAAGTATGATCAGACAGGCTTATATATTTATTTGCTTGCTTATATACACTCACACACGACCCACATTCATTCATTCATTCGCTTCTCCCCCCCCCCCAATCCTCTGCATCGCATACACACACGCACACACACACGCACACGCACACACGCACACGCGCAACACACACACACACACACACAAGACAACACAGACAGACACACACAGACACAACAGACACACAACAGACCGAGTCGCAGCATTGTGTGAATGTCAATGTTGACAGAGCCCGCTCATTGGGTCCGGTTCGGCCACAGAAACTAGTCCCGGCGATTGAAAAAGTAAAAAATCATCCCCGCTAATCGTGTCACCACTTCCCCGAGCGGAAGGTAGGCGCGGCGGAAGGCCCAGCCCCAGCAATAGCAGCAACACGGGGAAAAAATCGCAGTTTGTTGAAACGGGCCACACGCTGGGATCAACAAATGAGGAAACAGATAAGCAGGGCTTACGATCAGAGAGGTTCGACAGGGGGCGCAACTCCAGAGCGGGTCGGAACTCCATCATTACCTCGCGCTGCGAGCCACTGGTCGGCGGGGTATCGCCAACAGTCAAATCCTGCCTCACCAAAATAGTAGAAACGACCCAGCAGACTGATTCCAAGCGTCATTTACATCGCTCTGTCTCTGTCGCACTCAATCCTGTGTGGGTGCGAGAGAGACAGAGCGACGAAAACGACTCTCGGAAAAAGTCTGCAGGCGCTACCCCCAGCGCGCTGTGCCCCCGACGAGGCAGCTCGCGAAATCCCTCGCGCGCGGAGTAGCGACGGGTCAATCCTCTCGCCGAGACAGAGTGGCAGTCCGAACAGTCCCCCTCTCGTCCCCTGCGACACAAGCGTCGCAATGCGCGGCACAAATAATTGGCCAGCCAATCGCAGCTACAGGTAGCTTCGCCAAGGTCCCTTCGGGCTTGCCAAGGGTTCCCAAGGGATCCCCCCGGAGACGCGCAACCCGCGCGGGTCCCGCGGCCAGACTTCCCTACACTGTATCTGGGCCAAGAGGGGAGCGAACAGCCGAACAGCGAAGAGTGAGCGGCGGCGCGGACGCGGACCGCACCGCACCGCACCGCGGGCTGACGAGGGGAGGCTGGGCCGGGCCGGGCCGGGCTGACGAGACGGCCACTAAGTGGCCCGGACAATTGGAGCCAGGTACGTGTGCGTGCTGGGAATTGGAGCGAGAGAGAGGGAGAGGGGAAGAGAGAAAGAGAGAAAGAGAGAAAGAGAGAGAGAGAGAGAGAGAGAGAGAGAGAGAGAGAGAGAGAGAGAGAGAGAGAGAGAGAGAGAGAGAGAGCGAGAGAGAGCGAGAGAGAGCGAGAGAGAGCGAGAGAGAGCGAGAGAGAGCGAGAGAGCGAGAGAGAGCGAGAGAGAGCGAGAGAGAGAGCGAGAGAGAGAGCGAGAGAGAGCGGAGCGAGAGCAAGAGAGGGCGGATGGGCGAACGACACGGCACTTATCCGGCTTCGCGTTGCCTCGCGTCCCGTTCGAGACGTCGTCGCCGAAGACGCCAGGCCCGGCCGAAGGGGCAGAAGGGAACCAAAGGGGGCCAAAAGGGTGGCCTGGATACTACACGGTCCGAGTCGGATCGAGGCGCAAGGGAAGGACCAAACCAAAGGCAACCCACGGCAAATCACAAGGACCATAGGAGCCTGAGCAGGACCGTGCACAGGGAGGGCATGCCCACAGCAAGCCGCCACGGCCCACCCGCGGAGACTCGCGGCGACCGGCTCGTTACTTTGCGCTTTTGCCATCCGTCCCAAAACGCCACACGCTAAACGCCGCGAATGCGGCAATGCGGCAACCACCCGTGAAGAATGGAATGGGCGGGCCGTGGGCTGTGGGCCGCGGGCCGCTCGGACAAAGGCAGCAGCGCTGGGAGCGCACAGCCAACGCAGCGTGCGCGGCGCGGAAACAGTTTACAAGTGTCAATCTGTCGCAATGAGACAGCTGATGGTTCCCCCAGGGCACCCCAGCCCAGCCAGGCAGCCAGGCCAGGGCCGCGGGCCGCGGCTTGCTCGGCTCGGCTCCGGGCGTCCCGAGGGACGGCAGATTAGATCGCGTCGCGCGCGTGACAATCCTGCGGGGCGGGGCGGGGGGGCGGGGCGGGGTGGCGCGTCGAGGACTCTCGTGACGGCTCTCTAACTGAATCCTGCGTCAGGTCAGATAAAATGACGGCGGAGGGAAAAGGCGCGTCCGGGGTGAGTGCGGTCCAGCCGCTGCTCCGTCGCTCCGTCTCTCTCGCACTCGTTGGGCGTCCCGTGGGGGTGCGAGAGAGACAGAGCGACGGAACGGTCCTTCGAAATCGGACGGCAGGGCGGCGAGGAGGAAACGGCAGGAGATGATCAGGCAGGCGCCAGCGTCGGGCACGACGCGGGTGGGAACCTCTGCGAACCCCTCTCAAGGTTTCGCACCTCAACCTCAAAGCGGCCATTCGAAACCCGAAACCCGCCTCCCACCCCTCCAACGGCTGGCAACGCATCGACGACAGAGGTCCGCCTGGAGGTAGGCAACCCATCTGTCAGACCGACCAGGACGTCCAGCTGCAGCCCCATTTCGAACAGGTCTCAGTCTCTCTCACCCCCGTGGGTTGTCCCGCAGGGGGCGAGAGAGACAGCGCGAGGCAGCGCGCCGCAGCCCCCCGCCGGGCTCGCGGTCCTCCTCGCGGTGCACTGCGGGCGACAGATGTGGCCTAAAGAAGCGCACCGCAACAAGTGCCAAATGGAGAACAGAATCCTTCTCTCGCTCTCTCTCTCTCCCACTCGAGGGGCTTTTCAATGGCGGATAATGCAGGTCGGAGATTCAGTACGCGGGGCTGCTGGCAGTCGGAAATGAAGGGGTGGGCAAAACTGCGCCACGCATGAGAGTGAGTGAGTGCGCCACTTGGCGAGCGAGCACTGCACACAGTGGCGTGGCCCTCTCTGTCTCCCTCGCACTCGTGCAGCGTGCCGCAAGGGTGTGAGAGAGACGGAGCGGATTCGCCCGACTGCCTTCGGCTTGGCCTTCGGCTTACCTTGAGCCTGATGACGTTGGCCGTCCTGCCCGCCGAGTCCTTCAGGCGGCCCTCCCACAGGACGCGCTGCAGGAACAGGTCCAGGGCGCCGCGGCCCAGAGGCTGGTCCAGGAGAAGGGTCACACTGCCGACCTCCTGGCGAGAAAATCAAAAGTTTTTGTTAGAAGAGTCGTGAGAGTTTGCAACACACGTCGCGTCTAGTGTCATTAGTCACCTTGTCTAAATGCGACGCCGCATCCTGGCCAGCGGACATCAGACGCTCCAGTCTGGAAAAACGACGACAACAGTCGTTTCGTTATCTCCCCCTCCTCCATTTATTTAGGGTGAGGCGCTAGTTATCCAAAATAACTAATAGTAGGCAACCCAACCGACACCTACCGAAGGGCGCCCACGAGATAGGCAACCCAATTAACACCACCTGGGGGACGCCTAGCCAGGTACGCAACCCACAATACAGCATTGACAGAACAGAGCAAAACTCACCTGGCGGATCCAGTGCCACTGTACGCACGCAGATCCAAAATCTTGTCCAAAGAGATTCTTACAAAAGGGGAAAATTAAGATTAGAAAGGGGAGGAAACTATGACAAACAATGAACCGAATGCAATTTAACTCACTTGGAGTGTTGTGTTTCGATCAAGTCTACAACACCATTCAACTTGCTAAAAAAAAAATTACTTATCTAATAAAATGTTTTTTTCCTAGAAACTGAATTGACAAAAGAAATACTTACCGTATTAGACTTTTGGTTTTCTTCAATGTCTCTTCTGAAGTGAGATCAGTTTTGTTTAACAGAATAAGATCAGCTAAACATACTTGTCTGAAAACAAATGTTATGGATTAGTGACAGAATAATTCTGTTTCATATAATTCAAAACCTTTTATGGTTTTAGAGAACCTTTAATGGCTTTAGAGGAACTAACCTAATTGCTGCATTACTGGGTTCTCCATCTTCAAAGTTGACAGCAGTATCATCATTAATTTGCTATAATGTAGTGAATAAATTGATATGAAATAATAGTCTCTTTTCAAGGTTTTAATTTCTAGTTTCAAATACAACATACCTCCAAACAGTGCTTTGTATCAACCACAGTGATAATACCTGCAAAGGCAAATCAAAATCAAAGTAAGACCAACAAGACAACCTGGAAAATTTAGTGACGTACACTTTTGAAAACCTACCGTCTAGAAAAATGTCACTTCCAAGTTCTTTGTCCAACCAAAACATTGTGGCAATAGGTCCTATGAGGAGAAAACACAAAATATTAGATTGAGTAGAAGACAGACAACTTAAAAAGGAAATCCGCTAGCGAATGATTTACCTGGGTCTGCAAGTCCTGTTGTTTCTAATAGAATATAATCAAATTTCCCTCGTTTGGACATGAGATTTTCAATAGCTTTAACTCCGTTATCTCTGGAAAAATATGTTAAATTAATATACATTTCCATAGAAGTGCTAGATCATTTCTTCTAGGTGCACAAAACTACGAACTTTACTGAACAGCATAGGCAACCATTGCGTAACTCCAACCATTCTTCGTACAGAGCTCCTTCGGACCCAACAGATATACTTTTCTCCAGAGCACTTCCTAACATGAAATCAAAAGATAAAAGAGGGCACTCATGACAACATGTTCGTCTTACAACTATGACAGGATAGAGAACTTGTTCTCAAACAACTCTAAGTCCTTTCAAAGCAATGAACTAAGATGACTGACCTTCTCCAAACTCGTTGAGAATTACTGCTATTTTCTTTTCGCTTTGTTCGTGCAGAATATAGTTGAGGAGGGTGGTTTTTCCGGCCCCAAGGTACCCTGTGATGACTGTCACCGGTACCGGCTGGAAATCCACTGGAACCAACTCGGGAACATCATCATCGTCCATTGTTCGATGCAAATCAAGACTCTGCAAGGGAGACGAAACCTTCACAATCCTTGAGCACGGACAATCAGTAAATGACACGAATGAAAACTTGGTTTAAGAAACGAATTTGCTAACGACAAGTTCCAACCTCTCAAACAAATTCTGCGCCTTATGCCCGCCTGCCAATAACGTAGTTACCGGCAGTTATTCACACGGCATCACTATTTGCACGGCCATTATACACACTCCAGTTGACGCCGCGCTCGCGCTCGCTGATCGCTTTTGTTGGGTGCTCTTCAAAGGGAGCCGGCTGTATGTATTTTCGAGATTTTCCTGCTTTTCGCAATTATTTGCTCTTTTATCCTTGACTCGTTGGCTTACCAATCTTTCTGAATCTTGCCCCCACAGTTTTAGAAAACATCTGCATCATTGGACGTCTGCGAAGGCTCTTCTTCACCTTGTTTACTTTTGTGACATAACCTGACAATCTCACAATGATGTCCCGAGGTACGTCTATTTCTAATACCCAATCTCGTACCAGCCTTTGCTTCTTACCAGCGCGATGTATGTCCTTAGCATGCAGTCTTATTGACGGTGATCTAGCTACAGATTAGTCCCAATTACTGCCGTCCGTCCTCGTAAGGACTTCCTGTAGCTTTTCATATCTCTGTTTCCTTGTCGTTAAACTTAAACTTTGCTGCTGGTTGTTCCAGGCTCCATGAAGGACGTCATCGACGTGATGCAGCTGCGACAGACCAAAGGTCGCGAGTTCCCTCCTGTCAAATACGAGGACCGTGTCAACCATTTCTCTGGCGCTCGCTTCATATTTGAGTGTGGTAAGCTAGAGCTAGTTTCACTTATATTCAATTGTCATCATTAATGGAAGTTTATTGTCTTCTATCAATGTGCTCATTCATGTTTCAGGACTGAAGCTTAATGCACAACCCTTGACGATTGCCACCGCTGCTGTGTTGTTCCATCGGTTCTTCAGAGAAGCAGACATGAATTCATACGATACTTATGTAGGTTTTTGGTAATCCTTCTTTTGTATTTGAGTTTGAACAAAGCTAATTACATCCCTTATTATTGCAGCTGTTTGGTGCTACAGCTTTATACCTTGCAGGCAAAAGCAAAGATGATGGACTGAAGTTGCGCGATGTCATGAATGTCTCACACAGTACATTAAATCGTAACTCACCTCCCCTAGAGCTCAATAATGACTACTGGAACCTCCGCGATTCCATTGTTCAGGCTGAACTTCTTCTCATGCGCATGCTTCGCTTTGAAGTAACCCCAGACCATCCTCACAAGGTATGCATACTCCCCTCACATTGTGTTCTCTGACCCCTGTTTGTATTGGGAGAAATTACGTCCTTTTTTTTTTCTTTCACAGTACATGTTCCACTACCTGAAGAGTCTGCAAGGCTGGTTTGAATCTGACCAGTGGAGGCGAATCCCCCTAGCCAAGGCTGCCTTTGCCTTCTTACAGGTAAAGGTCTAGCTTACCCTATTTAATTTCACATGATATAAAAAGATTGTTGTGCTCATGTATATTGCTTGCAGGACTTCCATTTGGATGCTGCAGTGCTGGATTACTCTCCTCAGCACATTGCTCTGGCTTGCATTGGCTTGGCTTTACAGTGCTATGGAGTCACTGTCCCTCTAACTGATGAATGTGATGGACCTTTCTGGTACTCAGTAAGTATCTGAATACTAACTTTGCGTTTTATCTTGCTGGCATGAAATTTCATTTTGTTTTTGTTTTGTTTTATTAGGTGTTTGCTGATGATCTAAATAAAGATAAAATGTGGGAAATAATGGAGAAGATCATGGGTGTATATGATAAGGAATCAGAAGTGCCCACAGCATAATAACTAGTCATCTGAGGCCCCAGGAACTGATACATTCACCATTATATTTCATAGACTTAAAGATTAATAAAACTTATTTTAGAAAGGTCACTTGATAAAAATTTATTGGTTACCAAGCAAAACTTGCGACACATGAAAAATTATAAAAATAATAAAAGTTATCAACAATTCTTTGAATTTACTTAGCTAAGTTAGTTCTAACAAAGATAAAAATACATAATTAAAATACTGTTAGTGAGGAAGGCTAGCGGAATGAAGCATACCCACTGGATGCATTTTGGTTTTCTTTGTTCCCACCAAAAGTTCGCTTGAAAATGCTCAGCCGTTTGGAGGTTGGAGTGGCAGGGTTGGAGCTCTGTTGGATGGGGAAGAAATATGTCAAAAGATGACCTCTACAGGCAAATAAGCAAGCATTCCAGAAAAAAAATGACTCCCATACCTCGTCTCTCTTGGTGGCAGGCAAAGTAGCAGCATTAGCCACCTTGCTGCTGGTGAAGAGAGCCCTAAGTCGGCTTGGAGTAGTTTTGGCAACTCTGAGCATGCCTGTGCCCTGGGATGAGAGGGACTCATTGTGTTCACGAAGAGCTGCAACTCGAGGCGTCAGGTCTTCTTTCCCCTGGAAAATGGATATGTAGACCTTTATTAGACTTGACCACCACACCGCAATCACTGGGGTAAACAAAATTTAACAGCTTTGAACTCAATCAACCATTGTTTGCATATAAGGTACTTGAATAAAGGGTTCATCCCATCCACAGAAACCAAAATTCACACATAAGCTACATTTACAGGAAAAGAACAAATGGATACATGAAATAAAACCAAGTGAGGCTACAAGGGATTGGAGAGCTGAGGTGTGCACCTGGACTGCCAGTCAACTACACTCACCTGAAGAGAGAGTCTTCCAGCCTTTTTGCTTGGAGTAGGAGGGCCAGGCTTTTTGTAAGAAGTCTGTAAAGTAAACCATGCATTTAAATCTACACTCCTACCCCTCACAAAGAACAAAGTGTGCATATTTACTCTGAAAGTGCATGCTACAATAAAATAAGAACATCTCAACAAACTCAAACTTTCACCATGATAGCATTAGAAATATGTATTGTGTCAAAAGATAAGCTTGCATTCCCTCTTCTAAGTGCATTTTTTTTTTTTTTTAATTTCAATTTTTTGGGTAGATACCTCTTTTGGAGTGATGTGGAATCAGGAAAATTTGAATAATTCACATAAAATAATTTTGATTTGACAAGACTTCAATTAACAACTGGGAATTTCCACATTTGGCAGCAGTGTGTGGGCAAGCTCACAGAGCTTTCCTGTCCGCTCAGAATTCCCAAAGCGGGACAGAACTCTTTCCACAAGACTGCCTTTCAGTTGGAAAGTTTGCCCAACAAGGGAAGACAAAGGCCCTCCGGCCAGAACTGCTTCAGATGCATAAAGGGGACCAGAGTTGAGGACAACTTCGTTTGATTTTTCTTCAAGTACATCTCTTCCAAGCTCAGGAACAGCTGTTGGGCAATCGGGTGCTGCAGGAATTGGAGATTTGTCAAATAAAGGGACCCTGTATCCTGCACTGTTTAGAGACTTTTCTTCCATTTTCATGGTCTTTGGTAGTCTGACAACATTTGGCTTGTTCCATTTCATTTTACTGCTCAGCAGGCGTTTATCACATGCAAGTCTCTGAGCCATCACACTTCCGGGTCCATGGCCTTTCAAAGGTAATGAGCATGTATCGGCAGATACTCCCTTCCGGCACCTCTGAGCTTCAGGAGCTTTGTTACAGCTGTCTGTGTGTGCTTCAGCAAGCATCAGACCATCATCATTGTCATCAACCCTTTTATCAACCTGCTTAGGAGTCATGACGTTACCATCTTTGTTTCTCCGATGAGGGCTTCTAATTGGTTTACCGAAGAAAGAGTGTCTGTGAAGAGGCGTTCCACAAGACTCCACACTTCTTCCACTCTTTAAAGTTCTTCCCTTTTGACCACGGGGACTTGAGGTAATCTTAATCTTTTTTCCACACCAAGGTTTGGGTTTGAGACATGAAACAGCTCTACAAGGTGGCTTCTCCTCTGATACAACTGAGCTTGCAAGATTTTGTTTCACTCGGTTCCCCCCAATTTTAGTACCACTAGTGTTGGCTTTTACTGTAAAGAGCGCCTTATTTCTTTGACCAGTAGGTTTTGCCCCATTCTTAGTTTTTCCCTTCGGAGATGGTTTAGGCCTAGATTTGTCATCATGATCCTTTAAATGTATTTTAGGAGGGTACTGAAGGGCGGGGGTTTGCTCCATCCTCAACAAACTTCTCACTTTGGGCTTGCTTGAAAGCAATTTGGGCGGTGGCACACATGGAGTCACTAGATAGGGGGACTTAACATGCCTATTTAAGGGAGATTTGTCAGTCAATTTCCTGTGCTGAACAGGCTTATTTTTCCTGTCCTGAAAATCAATTGGCTTGTTGGATGTGGATGCAGTGCAGCCCTCAATAAACCTATGATGTTTGGTACTTCTGCTTAGTTGTCTGGACCAGAGAACAGACCTCGGACTTCTGGGTTTGGTTGGTCTTATGTTGTTTCTCTTTGATCTGGGCCTTTCAAGGCATGCAGGTTTTGGTGATCTTCTTCCAGCTTTAGAACTTGTACTCAATTTTGGACCAAGTGGTAGACACTTCTTACAAGAAAGCCATTCACTTGGATTCACAAACAAATAGTTCTGGTTTTGAGGCTGTTGCATGTTAAATTTGCTAGATGCTACTCCAGTGGTAAATTTTGGTTTTTGGATGATATATTGCTTCCTCACTGGTACACGCAATACTGAAGAGCCATCCGGTTCAGATACTGATTTGTATTGCTCCATAGGGGATCTGGCATAAACTCGAGAAGGATAACGGAGCTCCTTGATATCTAGCCAGTGATTTCTAGTATGAATTATTGATCGACGACCAGATTTGGGGCGTGACAGGACATAGCGCAGCTGCAGAAGCATGCGTTTCTGCTCATCTAGTGTTTGCTTGGGCCACCCAGCCACCACCCTCTGGAAGTAATGGGGAGGGTCAGCAAGGAGGAAACAAAGAGGAGAAGGACTTTTGCTATTCAACTGCCTAAACAAAACGAATACTAACACAAAGACCTTAACCCAGAATTAAAATCCACTACAGTAGAAACAACTTTGATTATACTTACAGTTCCTCTATCCTTCCCTGGTCGTCTTGCCCTGGTCTCTGGACCCTGCACAAAATAAAACATATGAAGATATTGCTAAGATATTAAATTACTACAGTTTCTCGGGTCTTTAGTTACCTTGATGTCTTCATCTTTACATGATTGTGTGTCATGAAATTGAGTTTCCACAGGATAGGAGCTTTTAAGATGGGGCGGGCACAGGGAGTTGCGATACTGCAGTTCACTTAGTCTGCTGCCATCTAAAGGTACCCTACATCGCCCTTCTTTCAACTCAGCCAAATAGTCATTGTTAAACATTTCTCCATCTTCATCTTCTTCTGGGAAGGCTAAACCTATAATTCAAAGAATGATCTTAGCAATTTAGCAATCTTAACAACATTAAAAGAAAATAATGATAAAATTTGGATTTGAATATCTGAACAAAATAATCACCCATTGATGCTGGTGCCATCATAGTTGATCGTTTCGCAGCTCCCTCATCCACATCATCTGGCGAAAGATCTCTTTTGGGATGAACCTTCGATGATGCAAGTCCTCCCTGAGTGACTTGGCTGTTGCAGCGTCGTTTCAGTTGAGATGAAGACTTTCCACTGGGAGAAGCAATATTTCTTCATTATATTAGTTATGTTTAAGGTGAAGGGGGAGGAATATACTGAGTGTTGAAGACACAAAAAAGTAACTTACCTATTTGCCCCTTGCAAAATGACATCTAGACGATCCAATGATTGAGTGCGTTGCTTCGTCATCAAATATTGGCGTTGACGCTCCTTCAAAGCAGACAACTCTTTTTCAGCATTCTTGTGATCCTGCTGCTCTTGCAGCAACTTCTCTCCAAGTTTCCACAATTGTGCACTCAACTGTTGAACATGCTCTTCAAACTCAGTGATGCGCTTACTATACTTGGCAACTATTTCTTTTTCTGACTCTCTCTTTTCTTCTTCAACCTTTTCTACCTCATCTTTGACAATTTGTTTCATTTTGATTTTCATAGTTTCTAGCTTACTCGAGTAATGAACATGAAGTTCTTTCAGCTTGTCTTCAAGCTCTTTTTGAGTTGGACGCTCACTTAGGACATTGACCTTTTCTTGTAATTTGGCAACAGCAAGCTCCATCTCATGATTGTTAGGCCGCAGGGAAGACAGTTTGCTCTCTTCAATTTGCTTGTGAAGGTCTGCAACTTGCTTTTGTAACTCTTCATGAGATTCCTTCATCAGTGAGTAAGCTTCTTCTAATGATGCTGACCCACCGAACAAACTTGTATCTTTCAGGGCATTATTCTTGTTGCTAGATGAGTTGCCAAGTACTTTCTGCATTGAAGGTTCGATTGGAGCAGGAATAATATCTCTAGACCCATTACTGTGATTTGAGTTTTCACACACCACATCTTCCATGCTGTCCTTACTGATAGATGTCTTGATGCGCAAAGACTCTCGTGTCTGGGCTTTAAGGAAACTTTCACAGCGTTCTATTAAAAATTTGCAGCTGTTAATGGCAGATCGAACATCACAAATTAAGGAAGTCATGGCCTCACATGACTTAGTAACTCTGTCTTCAATATTACTGTTTTCAGGTGAAATCAGTGGTTCCATACTATCAGATTGACTGTCTGCGAAGGAATCTTGAGTTTGCTTCTTTGACTTCCTCAACATTTCATGGGCGAGGGAAATAATATCACACAAGCTGTCAGCATACTTCTTGTCTACAGCCCGTAATTTCATTTCAACCTCTTTTCTCATAATGGTCACTTCATGAACAGCATCACAGTTAGTAGGTAAGGCAGCAAACAAATTGTCACATGTTCGACTCACTTCCTTGATAATCTCCCGAAGTTGACTTAGATGCTCTTCCACATCAATTTTTTGAGTCATCATCGACTCAAACTGGAATTGCTGTTGGTGTTTCACACGGCTCATCTGCCACTGTTGCTCTTCTTGTTGAAGTTCAGACATTTCAGTTCGACCTTGAGGAGCAAACAACTGTTGCTTAAGCTCAACAGCCTCCTTTTGATAACTCTTAGCAGTAGACTGAGCTTCTTCCAAAGCTATCAACAAGTTTTTCTTCTCTTCATCAAAATTTTTCTGAACTTCTTTCAAGTCCTGTGCCATCTTCTCTGATGCTGACTGAGAAGTATGCAATTCACCCTCTAGAAGCTTCATGGCAACATCAAGCTCATCACTGGATTGTCTTTCCAAAGAAGAGGCAGTGGCTTTGTGGCAAGAAATAATTTGATCTTTTACAGAAAGCAGTTCTTTGAGTGTATCTCTTTCTGAACGCAGCTTTTCAACACACTTTTGTGTTTCAGATAATAAATCTTCTTTTACTTCAATGGATCCCTGCAACTCCTCTATTTGTCGGTCCATTTGCTTTCTATTTACTTCAGCACTATCAAACAATTCTTTTTGTTGTTGATTAGCAGCTTGAAGTTTATTGGACAACTCCTGAATCTTGTTATGCATTTTTTCCAGGCTTTCCTTCGATTGATTCATGTCTCTTTCTTCCTGTTCACGCTTAACTTCAAAGGCCCGAAGTCTTTCTTCAAGTTCACTAATAAGCACAGTTTTCTCAGAAAGTTGTTCTTCCAGGGACTTCACAGTTCGACTGAGCTCACCTTGAGCCTCAGTTTCATTGGCCTTAAGTTTATCTTCAAGTTCACTAATAAGCACAGTTTTATCAGAAAGCTGTGCTTCCAGGGACTTTACAGTTCGACTGAGCTCTTCTCGAGCCTCAGTTTCATTGGCCTTGAGTCTATCTTCAAGTTCACTAATAAGCACAGTTTTATCAGAGAGTTGTGCTTCCAAGGACTTTATACTTTCTAGCGCACCATTATTTTCAACAATATTCTTCTCCAACATCTGCTTGTCTGAACTAAGCCTCTGAACTTCTTCTGCCAGAGATTTTGCTTTATTTGACAACTCCTCTGTAAGTGTCAGGTATTCAGTTTCTTTCTCAGATTTCTGAACTGTAAGGAGATCAAGACTCGAAGAAAGTGCTTGGTTCTTGGACAGAAGTGAGCATAATTCTTCTTGGAGAGTGTCTTTTTCTTGTTTTGCTATGGACAATTTTTCTTGGTAGCTGGAAAGTTCTTTTTCTTTGATGTCACCACTTTTTTGCAGCTCCAAAATAATGCCATCTTTAGTCTGCAGATCAGAAAGCAATCCTTCTTTCACCTCCCGTTCTGACTGGAGTTCAGAAGATAATGTTTTGTTGTTATTTTTGACAGATTTTAAAGCCTCTTCCTTCTCTGCTTGGGATGTCAGAAACTGTTCTAACATACTCTGCTTTTCCTGAGTTAAGATCTCTACCTGAGAAATGTACTTGGCAACCTCTTCCTCCAAAGCACATTTATTGTTCAATATAATTTGCCCCTCTTCCATAAGTTTCTGATTTTCGGCCTTTACATTTTCAGAGGTGGTCTGTAGTTCAACGAGGTCTTGTCTCAATATACTCAGCTGCTGACACTTCTCCTCACATTCATCCTGCAAGCCACTGACTCTCTTTGACAGCTCCTCCCTGTCACGGCCGTGCTCCTCCAGAAGTTTCGCCATCTCAACAGACTGCGAGCTCAACTGTTGCTCCTGCTCTTTATTGACACCCTTTAATTCGGCCAGCTGCTTCTCAAGATCAGAAAGCTTGATCTGGAAATCCTCCAATTTAGACAAAGCTTCCTCCTTTTGCTTAGTCCTAGTTGATAATTGGGCCAGCAAAGATTCTTTTTCATTAGTTGCAGAAGACAAAGTGAAGTTAAGTTGCTCATACTTCTGTTCCAGATCTGAAAGGTGTTCAGTTACAGACCTACACTCCAAAGAGATCTTATCTTTATCCTCCTTCAGTGAAGATAATTCAGCCTTCAGGGATAAATTCTCTTGTGTTGTGGCATTTAAACTGCTTACATAATGGGCTAAGTCGTCTTCCAAGTCATTCTTCTCCATTTCCAGGTCAGTTATAGCAGATGTTTTATCTTTACATAGCTGATGTAATTCTTTTAATTCGCTTCTTAGCTGAGCGACTTCATTGCTCTCCAACTCCATTTTGTGCCTAACAGCAGCCAATTGACAACAAAGTGTTTGCTTTTCAGCAGTTTCAGAATCTAACAGTGTCTGCAAATTCTCTTTTACACTCGAAAGTAAAGATAAATTGGACCTCAAATTTTCAGCCTCTATTGCCTTTGCCGATAGATTTTGGTTCAATGAATCATTCTCTTCACTGATTTTATTCACTTTGGAAGACTGCTCTTGCAATGACAACTCCAACTTATCCTTTTCTTTCAAAATGCAGGAAAGCTGATTTTCAACGGATTTCTTCTGCTTTGTGATTTGTTCAATTTTTTGGTTGAGGTCACTTTCTTGTTGAGTTGCAATAGAAAGCAGAGAGTTTAACACTTCGTTTGAGGCTAATACTTCATCTAACTTATCTGTGGTGACTTTCTTCTGGGAAGCCTCCTGAGCAGCTTGGTCTTTAGCTTCCTGAGCATTCTTCAACGCACCTTGAAGCTGGACTTCCCACTGAACCTTTTCTTTCAGAAGAGCAGTATTTTCTGCAACCACTTTGGCTTTCTCAGCAGTTATTTTATGAATAGATGCAGAGAGATCATTTCTTTTCTGCAGGACATCTTCCAGCTGTGCCTCAAAAGCTTTTCTTTCTTCTGACACATTTTGCAGTCTTTTCTCTAAATTCATCTGTGCAGAGAGGGAATGTTCCATCTTCTTCTCTAGATCTTCATTTAGATTCCTTAAAGTATTGACCTGGATGATAAAAAGGAGAAAATGTTAGTACATACCAGTGAATAGAAGATAGCTAATAAAAAGTCTTCATTTCAAAATTTGTACCTGTTCTTCTAAGTCAATCTTTTCCAACTCAGCATTTTTGGCTACACTTAATTTTTTTTTGACATCATTTAACTGTTGTTCAATTGCTTCCTGACTTTTCATAGACTTCTTCAACTCAAACTCCATCTCACTGATCTTTTGATTGGCGCTGCTTAACTGAGCGATCTTCTCTTGAGCAAATTCACACTGCTCCTGTTCCCTTTCTTCTGCTATTGTTAGTTTAGCAGTTAGTAATGCCAACTACAAAAAAAAAAAAGAAAATTGTCAGCAAATTTAAGTCATTTCTACACATTTTACAAATAAGAACTGCTAACATACTTGTACTTCCAGGTCACGGTTTGATTTTTCAAGGGATGTTTGCACATTTGACAGGGTGTCCTTCTCAGCATTAATTTCTTTAACTTTTGCTTCTAAAATTTCCTTGGCTCTACACATTTCTGAAAAGCGAGAATTTATGTCCTCTTTTTCACTCCTGCAGGTAAAGAGTTCTTCAGTAGTTTTGTCAATGGATTTCTGAAGGTTTTCAATTCTTATTTCAAATTTCTTCTGAGAGAGTAATGTTGCATCATGACTTTTTTCCAGTTCAAAATACGCTTCTTTAAGTTTCTGCAGCTGAAAAAATTGGTAAAATAAATAAATTAGAAGTGTCCTCAAGTACACAAAAAAGAGAGGTATGAGACAGTACCAACCTCACTAGTCAGATCCTTGATATTGTTTTGAAGCTGTATATTTTCATTCTCCTTCTCCATCATTTCTTTCTCCAGTATGAATCCAAGACTTTCCGGAGCAGGAGACGGAGAAAGGGGAGCAAGAGATGGCCGTCTTGGTGACAAGACCTGAATTTGATTATAGTCTCTTTCTAACTGGGAACACCTCAGCCTGAGCTCTGCGTTTTCTTCTGTCTGCTCAGAAATCTATAGAGAGGAAACGAATAAAAGATGAGAAAACACTCTCAACAGAATCACAACGAAGAAAAAATAGACTGACCTGCTGCTTTAAGATGCCAAGCTCATCTCTTGTGACTTTTAATATTGCTGCAACTTCAGAAGATCTTTCTTCAGCAGCTAAAAGCTGTAAAGTAGGAAAATGCTAAAGGGTTAACAAACCAGACAAACAAACACAAAAGCATTTTGAATAGTCAGATAAATTTCCTAACTTTTTGCTTCAGCAGATCTTCGTTTGTTTTCCTCAATTCAATGTCATCTTCTAGTTTTTGAACATACTTTTCTGAATCCGAGAGACTTTGGCACAATCGAAGTTTCTCCTCTTTCTCAAAACCTTTAAGAACATTTAACTCTTCGTGGCCTTCTTCAGCTTTTCTCAAGTCCTCCTGAAGAACCTTAATTTCTTCCAATTTGTCTTGATATTTCTTAACTGAAATATGACCCAATAATAGTTACTTTTAACACAGCAATTTATTTACATTTATAAGTTTAAAAAAGTTGTTTTGGTGCAAAACTTACCCAAGTCTGCTATCTGAGATTGTTGTTTTTTCACTTGCTCCTGCAGGTCCTGTTTCTCTGTCTGTTCTTGCTCCAAATTAACCTCCAGCCTAAGCACTCGATCCCTTGTTCCAACAGACAGTCTCTTTTGACGAGCAACTGGAGACTAAATAAAGAAAAATTTCACAGTCAACAACAGTGTTGAATGGTTCATGTAAGTAAATATCCTGGAAAATTCAGAGATAACTCACAGATAAAAACTCCTCCAAAGGTGCTTTGACATTTGATGCTGGAGAGGAAGTTAAATTCAGGGATCGTCTTTTGGGAACAGTTAGAGTGTTACCTGAAATGTTAAAACAAAGCAATAAAAGTTAATGTTAGAATACATAGCGGAGCAGCAATATTATCACCTACCCATTGTCACATCCTCACAGTCTAAAGCTTCAATGCAATCCATTAATTTCTGACGTGTCAACTGTTGCTCGAAACACATAGCTCCTTGGAGAAACCTAACAATGAGGTTTTGCTCCGCACCATTTAGCATTGAAGTAGCATTTTGCTGAAATGTTTGTGAAGGGTCGAAAATTGAGGCATGAAGCAGCAAGAGACTCGCTATGAGATAAAGGTCTTCTTCTTGGGTCCATGACACGTCAGTGTGATCCAATAATCTGGAGTCATACTTGGGGTAATGCTCTGTGCAGAACATAAAGATTTATTTATGTACAAATGAAAATTTAGAATAATAATGGTCAAATAAAGACAGAATTTTTACCATGCAGGAATAGAAGTAGCTGCTTAAATGGTTCATTGTTGTTTTCAGAAACAGATCTGTAATAATAAAGAAAATACATTTCAAAATGAGCAAAATTATCGGGAAGAGATAAGACTTATCCCATCAAAAGATACAAGATACAAGAAACAGAACCTTTAACAAAAGATACACTTTAAACTTACCTAGACGGCAAAGCTTTCAAGAAGTCTCTTTCTCTGACATCATTCACTTTTTTAACGGAATCGACACCAAAGCAGTTGAGCTGCAACAAAGGCCATGCATTGTTGAGTATGAATACAGTTGACAAGCATGGACAAGGGATACCTCAGAAATCAGCACTTGGATGACTAAGGCTGGAATGTAGGACAAAACATCCGACTGATACTAAGATCTCTTCTGAGAAAAATTATCATCCCAGGAAAGTCGAGCCATTGGTAGAGGTTAGTGTTTGTTGAAAAGACCGTTATTAATAGGCAGTGACGCTTCACCCCCTGCAGCCATTATCCGCAAGAGTGGTCTCACGAAAAATTTCAGGACATGCTTTATAGGAAAGGTAGACATTTCCTTTGATATACGTCCAGAAAATTCGAGAAAAATAGCTTTCCCAAAAGACATAGACCCATGGATACCGTCCCCAGCAACCGCCAGAGACAGTAAAATAATGAAGAGGCATGTTATGAAAAGAGATATGTCACTTACCCATTTAAGCACAAGTTTCTTCCACACACTTTTCATTGCTCTACAACGCGGAAAATTTGCAAATTAATACTGGAAAAGACCATGCCGTAACCGACGACAATTCAAAACAGAAACGGCAGATTCAAACAGAAGTAACTTTCAAACGGCATCGTCTTATACCAACATGCGACCCCAGAGCGCCGAAAGTTCTTACCAGCCTGACCACAGATATCAGACTAATTCAATCGCGATTGTTTCCAATTAAAGCAACGGTTGACTAAAACTGGAGGAATTTATCGTCTAGGCAATTTAATAATTCAAATCAGAAGCTCATTTTGAGCTATTGGTGTCGCCTTTGTCTTTCAAGAGTGGTACTACGAGTCTCGGTAGCCCCTCCCGCGAGTACACTATACTGCCGGGAAGCGGGCAGTTTCAAATCGTAGCGCCGATGACGCCTATGTAGACCCTGCCAACGGTAAACTAGCATCACTGGGAAAGAGGGGAGAAGGAAACCAGCAAGAATGACAGAAGTTTCATATATTTTTGCCATTTAACTAAAATACACACCTCGACAAATGAGCGTTTTGTACATATATATTACACGTATGATACAGAATGCAGACACAGGCACACAGTTTGGCAATTGCATTTCCAGGACACCGTTTTCCATTCGTCACTGAGCAGCACTCCTTCCCGTGACATCATTGCACTGTAAAAGAATCAACCTTGCGGTGTCATGGTGCACGTTAGGCAAGGATAGCGGTGGAAAGCTACAGTGTCCTCGTCCTCAGGGCACCTGTCGAGCGATTCCGAGGAGTCTTCGTAGTCACTCTGTCTCTGTCGCCCTCATGGGGCGAACCGTAACGCCCGGACTGGCGAGTGCGAGGGCTGTGCTGCTGCCGAGCGACTCAGAAGATCGGTTTTGTCGCTCTGTCTCTCACGCACCCTAGGAGAGCCCCATGAGTGCGACAGAGACGAATTGGCAAAACGACTCGCTCTGCTGTGCTGGCCTGGGGTCATCCAGCCTTCTCGCATTACTTGACTCCGATGATGGACTCCACTGAGAAGGATATCCGCGGTTTCGGCCTCGACGGCGACGGTGCTGCCTCGGACCGGGACGCGCCGGCCGGGACGACGCCGTGCTCCGGGGACGGCGGCCGCGTCGCCGGCGGTCGGATGGGGGCCGACGACGGCGACCTCGGTGCGGGAGCCAAAGGCGGTGACGGCGGCGACACCGGAGCGAGGGGCGGCGTCGACGACGTCGGCGACGTCGCAGCGAGGGGCGGTGGCGAGGGTGACGGTGGTGGCAGCGGCGGCGACGGAGCGGGGGCCAGCGGCGGCAGCAGTCCCCAGGGCGCCGGCAGCCACGACGCCAGGTCCAGGCCGCGGTCCGCGAAGGTGCGCCGCTTGCGAAGTCTTTCCAGCAGCAGGGGCGGCAGCGGCACGGGCAGCAGGCGCGACAGGCGCTGGCGGCAACCTGCAACAGCGGCACGGCCTGAGCACGGCGTCATCGTTTCGTCGCTACGTGTCTCTCGCACTCATATGGCGTCCTGCGAGAGAGACAGAGCGACGACAACGACTCTCGGAATCAGTCTGCTGCCTCTGCCTGCCTCGGTCATTACGGGCAGTGGGACGAGGACGGGCTGGCCTGCAGACTGATTACGAGAAGTCGTTGTCGTCGCTCTGTCTCTGTCGCACTCAAGGGGCGTCCAGTGGGTGTGATACAGTGTGATACAGAAAGCGACGGGGCGCTCTTCGGAATCAGTCTGCAGTGTTCGTTAGGCCGGCGTGGGAGGAGGAGGAAGAAGTAGACATAGTTGGAGTGCGCCACCTATGCAAGAGCGCTGCCTCTTCGCCCCGTCTCCCTCACATCCCCACGGTACCCCACGCCAGGCCTATGAGTGCGAGAGAGACAGAGCGACGAACCGCTGTCGGGAATGAGCCCCCGCCCCCGCCGGGCCGCGCGGTGGCGGCGACGCTTGACGAATCGGCCGCTTCGTGGAACACGCTCATCGTTCTCATGGTGCTGCAGTCTGAGGACGGGGCGGGACGGGACGCCGTACGGGGAGACACATCTGGGGGAGCCTCCGAGTGATTTATCAAGCGGGTGTTGAGTCCTCGGCTTGTTAGGACGGGACACGCGCCACCGCGCTAAAGACCGAGGAAGCAAAGCGATGGACGACCCGACCCATCGACCGCCCGCGTCCAGAACGACCAGACGTCGCAGTGGAGCGGACTTATTCCGAGAGTCGCTTTCGTCGCTCTGTCTCTCTCGCACTCATGGGGCGCCAAGTATTGGAGCAAGAGAGACAGAGCGGCGCAAACGACTCTCGGAACCAGTCTGCTGGCTGGTTTTGCTGATGCCGAAAAGTGCTTGAAGTTCATGCTAACTATTTCACGGTTGGATGAACCATTAAAATATTAAAATCCGTCCGCTGGAAAAACCGAAAAGGCATCCATGTTCTGGCAACCAATTCTCTCGGTCTGGGCGCTGACGAGGGTTCTGAAGGTTCCCCCCACCCCCACCCCTTTCCCGGTCCAGCCAGACACCTCGGCGCCGCCGGGGCATCGGGGCGTCGGGGCGGAAGGGGCGAGCATGGCCGAGCTGTCACCTAGTGTCACCTCCCCACACGTGGTTCGAGCACGCGTCATTCCTCGCATAGCTTCGCCGCCCCGGCCCGCCCGCCCCGCCCGCCCCGCCCCGCCCGCCCCGCCACGCCCGCCCCGCCACGCCACCGCGGGGACGACACGTAGCGACTCATCCCTAACTAAACAGGCCGATCGCGTTACCGCGCGGGCCGGGCCGCCGGGGCCGCCGCGGGGCAGGGCAGCAGAGTGATTCCGAACACTTGCTTCGTCGCTCTGTCTCTCTCGCACTCATGGGGCGGTCCGTAGCGGTGCGAGAGAGACAGAGCGACGAAGCAGTGTTCGGAATCAGACGGCTGACTGACGGGGAGAAGGGGGAGGAGGAGGACGCACTGCGGCGACGAGGTGACGCCAAACTAATAGGCACTCTCTCACGGTGTGTTCACACCTTAGAGGCTCCAGCCAGAGGGGATGCGTAAAGCGCCTAAAACGCCCGTCTGTCTGCCTGAGGCAAGCTAGGAAGGGCACGCCCGCCGCGCGTCCGAATACCATGCCAAACCTTTCCAACCGAAAGGCAACAGCCAAGAGAACACGCGGTTTGATTTTGCTTGCTTTTGATGGCTGTGCCGCGCCGCGACGTCCCGTCCTAGAGCGGAGAGCGCGGCCGCGGCGCGGCCGAGCGCCGTGCGGGTAGGCAACACGCGCGCAGCCTTGTCCAACGGGACGGCATGGACGTCCAGCGCAGGCGGCGGCCAGCAACCACCGTCGGACAACAGCGGGCCAGCGCGTGTGCATCGGCAGTTCTAGTCTCCCAACCATGGACGTCGCTAGAACGTCCGGTTACCACCTTGAAGGAGGAGGCGCGGCGAGCGGCGGGGAAGTGCCAGTCAACAAGTGGAGCATGCAGGTGAAGATGCGCGGTGCCTTACATGGCAAAAGCAGTGTCTGGCTTTCCCTAGCCCACCCTGCAGGAAAAACCCTTTATATTTCCAGAATTGACCTACGAAAGCCGGACACTGCTTTTGCCGTGTGGCAACCCTAGGCGCTCAAGGCATCTCCAGGCGATGTTTGCCTACCTGCAGCGGTCTGCTGCACGGCGCGCAGCTGGCGCTGGTACAGCCGCTTCTGCGCCTGGAGGGCCTGCAGGGCCTGCACCGCGTCGCCCAGCGCGGGCCTGGGTACGTGGCTGTGCGCCGAGTGGCTGTGCGCCCCGGACTGCTGCCTGGAAACAACGAACGGCATTCAAATTGTGAACCTCGGAGCAAGTAAGGTGCCGATCTATGTGCTCCAGCGATTCAGAAGAGCAGTTCGTCGCTCTGTCTCTCTCACACTCTCACACACGGTGGGTCAGAATACCGGTGCCGGCGGCCAAAGCTCTGCACGCGTTTTGAGCTCTAGAGTCCAGAGCGCGCTGAACAGGACTCGAGCGTGTGACCCCATCAACGGATTCCTCGTTCGGAGAGCAATCCATTGGTGGGGTCACACGTTCGATTCAAGTCCCATTCAGCGACTCTGTGGGTCAAAACGCGTTCGGGATTTTGACCGGCTCCACCGGTCTTCTGGCCCACTGTGTCACGGAGAGCCCCACGAGTGGACGGAGTGGACGGAGAGGGAGACTGACCTGCGCAGCGCCACCTGGGCCGCCATGACGCGCTGCCGCTCCACGACGAGCAGGCACGCGGCGCAGCGGCACTCGCGCCAGCGGCACAGCTTCTTGTGGCCCTTGAGGCAGGAGATGACGCCGTGGTTGCGGCACCGCGCGCACTTGGGGGTCCGGAGCAGCCGCCGGCTGGCCGCGGCCCTGCAAAGCACGCAACGAACGTCACAGTGGGCCAGAAGACCGGTGGAGGCGGTCGAAATACCGGACGCGTTTTGAGTTGTGGCGGGTTCGTCTCCCGTTGAACACCATTCTCAGAAGATGGTACACATTTACATACATATAATTTGGAAAACTACTCAGCTTCAGCCAGTCCTACCTCGAGGACGCCAAGTCCGGTGCCATGCCGCTCGTCGAGCCGCTCGTCGTCCTGCTGCAGGTGCGTCCTGCCGGTGCTGGCCGCGGACGCCGAACGCCGCCGTCTGCTGCTGCTGGCGACACACCGCACAACACAACACTCTTGATGTCAAAATAGAAGTGAATTGTGTTTCAGCCTGGCACCCTCTTCAGGGCTGCAGGCCTCCCCGCCCCCTCCCTCCCCCCTCCACGGCCCCCGGCGTCCCCGGTCGGCCTGCTGATTGGGCGCTGGGCGGGGCGAGCGGGGCCGTCGGTCCACGGGGCGACACGCCACGCCACGCCACCGCCACGCCACGGCCGCAACATGGTGTTGCTGACAGCCCGACAAGACAGGAAGATACCCAATTTCTTAGCGAGCCGTGGCCTGGGCCGTAGCCTCCACCCACCGCCGTCGTTGTCACGCCTCGTCGTGGTGCCTTGCGCCCTGCGCTCTGCCTGCAGGCCGAACAGTGCTTTCGTCGCCCTCACTCTCTCGCACCGCCGACGGGAAGCTCCATGAGTGCGAGAGAGACAGCGACGATGCTCGGAAATCAGCCTGCAGGGTAGTAGACTGATTCCGAGAGTCGTTTTCGTCGCTCTGTCTCTCTCGCACCCTCTCTCGCACCCTCTCTCGCACCCTTGCGCCTTGACTATTGTCAGGGCGATGGTCCCGCGATGGGTAAACCCGCGGACCCGGTACCCGGGTACCCGGTTCGACGCGCGAACCCGGGTCTTACCCGGGCTACCCGGGTACCCGCGCGGTCCGGGTTTTTAAGAGCTCTAGAGTGCGAAAGAGACAGAGCAACGAGAGCATTGCTTTGAGTCAGCCTAGTAGGGCACAGTGGCGGATCCAGAGTGGGCCCAAGGGGGGGGGGGGCAAAGTAGACCTTTTTGCCTACCTTTCAGGCGGCTATCTAGGGTTCAAGGGAGTCAATTATCCTTTTGCCCCCCCCCCCGGATCCGCGCTTGACAGGGCAGCCCAATAGAGCGCAGGATAGACTGATTCCGGGAGCCGTTTATGTCACCCCTATCTCACTAGCACCCATAAGGTACGCCTAAATGAGTGCGAGAGAGACAGAGCGACGAAAACGACTCTCGGAATCAGTCTGTAGTGTAGGAGCACCCCTCCGCCACGTGCTAAACTAACACCGCCCGTCCGCCACCTCTGCGTCTCAGCTTCCTCCGTTGTCCGACACGACTGTGTCGGTCCACGCCGTCGTGCTCCCAGTGGCGTGGTGCTGGCGACCTGGCGACCTGACGACGCGGTACGGCAGCTCAGACCTGCGCACTGATTCCGAGAGTCGTTTCCGTCGCTCTGCCTCTCTCGCACTTATGGGGCGTGCGGTCCGAGGACGAGAGAGACAGGGCGACGAAAGCGACCCCCGGAATCAGTGAGCGGTCCGGCTCGGGGAGGACCAGGGAGGACCGGGGAGGGCCGCCTTGACGGTCTTGGCGTCGTCGCCAGCGGCCGAGCCAGCGGCCGAGCCAGCGGCCGCCACGCAACGGACAGCAACCCGACACCGCCACACTCAATCCCGTCCGATTCCATTCGATTTGCCATTTGCCCCATCGGTGTTACATAAAGCACCGGGCGGATTCCTTTCGTCGCCCTGCCTGTCTCCCTCGCACCCGTGGAGCTTCCCTCTCGTAGTGCGAGGGAGACAAACAGAGCCCGCTGCGCCACCGTGCCGGACGCCGGACAGGCCGGACACCACCGCGGCCACGCGGGTCAACGTCGACGCCAACGCCGCCTGCAGACTGATTCCGAGAGTCGGTTTCGTCGCTCTGTCTCTCTCGCACTCATGGGGCGTCCCGTATATGTGCGAGAGAGACAGAGCGACGAAACCGACTCTCTGCGTCAGACCACTGACCACTAGCCCTTAATGGTAATGGTAATGGAGGGTAGGACGCGGCTCGTTCGGCGGGCTTGCCTACCCGCGCGGCGTTCACTGTGCCCTGCTTCTTTCTAGTGTTCTGTCTATACAGTTCTAATTTAATAAAAGCAGGAATATCCAGTGCGTCAACTCTGTCTTGTAGTGTGAATCTGTGCGCCTCCGAGCTAGATACATGGAGCTTCTGTGTAGGCGGTCGCAAAGTTCCACCCGAACTACAAACAAGAGTGGCTAATGCTCGAGCCGCCAAGGTGTTCATCCCGTTGATCCTAGCAAAGGGTCGCCCTGGCAAGCTCATGAACAGCACTTGGTCGCTCTGCCTCTCTCGCACCCCTGCGGACCCTGCGGGACACCCCGCGAGTGCGAGGGAGACAGAGCGACTGCCGCGGCGGTGGCGGTTCAAAGGCCACGGGCTTGCAGCCTGCAGCCCGGCCGCGACCACACTGAGACTGGGGCTGAGGCTGAAGAGGGAAGACATAAATTTAGGAGCACTCAAAAGGCGTGCACGTTACGTCCGTACGTCCGTCACGGCATCAGCCCCATCGCACGGCCCCGGCCCTGCCAGGAGTCTGCTGTCTCTCTCGCACCCCCCGCGGGACGCCCCACGAGTGCGAGAGAGACGGGGCGACGAAAGCGCTTCTCGGCATCAGCCCCCGGCGTCTAGTCAGCCCCAGCCCCCACGTCGGGCTCGCGTTACACCACTCGCTCGACCGGCCGAAAGAGAAAGAACTCGGCCAAAGAACGCTAGACGTGAAGCGTGTTTCACTTCTCGGGACCGTTTCCTCTTAATTGGGATGTTGACGCGGGAACAAAAACCCAATCGGACCCCGTCTGGGGTGACGCCTTTCTCTGACGGTGTCATATGCTCCAAACTCATGTGAGTTAAATGTCTGATTAAATTCTCCCCGCGATCCGAGCCCCGTTCCTTCAGAGTGAAGCAACGTCCACCTCGCCGGGTGTCATTCCCCTGGTCAAGCGGAGCCCCATTGAAGCATTTTCTTTTCTAAAGAGCGCGGGCAATGGTTCTTTTTCCCCGCCCTGGCATTGGCAGTGTGAGAAGTACAAGTATACAGGACGTCATAGAAGGTGGTGGACGTAGGAACCGTAGGAACGTAGAAACACAAGCATCTGGATAAATGGAAAGGCTTTTTATTTACAAAACCAAAGGCTTTATGATTGTTTCTGTTGCTCAAATGAAACAGATTATGTACAACATGAAGAATGTACATCAGTTAAGTTTATACACGGGTAAAATAATTATGACGACAATTATTCATTTATCTCAATCTCTCACTCTCATTACAATGCAAGGATACGAATTCCAGTAATGTAATCCAAAATATGTGTTATTATAAATTTATCTTATGGCTAGTTTTATGTATTTAAAATACAAAAGATCTTGAATAATGAAACCATTGAGCAATATATCTCCATACACAGCTCAATTGGAAGCACCTACAATCAACCCCTGCACCTTCCCCGTGCCCAGTCAAGGCTAGTTAGTACTTGTATGGAGAGTATTATTCATTTTATCTTTTAACAACAATAGTATGTACACATTTTTTTATGAATAAAATAAAAATGAATTAACCAATTATAAATACAAACCAATCTACAAATGGCTAGTCTTTGGGTGGACTGGATTGGGCTATCCTGCTAGAATTCTGCATACACACACTTAAACAGATACGTCACTGTGACAAATTTGCGGAAGCATTGTAACAATGAGTAAACATAGCTATCCGAGCAATATTCCCTAAACGTCATACTGTGTCAACCCACAGCTAAGTCAATCGCAGGATGGTTCACATCCAGTCATAATATCAAAGCAAAATTGAATGATCTGTACTACACACAAATAAATAAAAATAATCATTGCCTGGGTGCTACTTTTTCCTGAAAACATTCGACTAGGTGCTTGATGAAAGCGAATAGTTTTAAAACACTAATGCAGAGTCAGGACCAAACAAGTTATAGGTAAAAACACACACATAAAATAAAATGTATGTGCATGCAAAATGCATGATGCCCATAACCACCCTATTGCAAAGCTCAAACCTACTAAATTAATTTTTTAAAGAAAAAAAAAATTGACTGAGTAGTGCAAAGCTCTCAACTAGAATTTGTGCTCTGTGCTGTCGCATAGGTTTTGCTGAGGTTAAACATGAGTGGTGAACATATCACTCAAGAAGCCCAGTGCAGTTTTCCTTTTAATCATAACTAGTACCAGTTACTCTAAGTCTAACTCAGGGGCGCCAATTAACAGCTAAGCATATGCCACAAATAAAAGTATCTATTATAAAGTCAAATTAACTAATAACAAAATAAAGAAGGAAGTGTGAAAGAAGTTGATGGAAGCATATTTGGTAAGCAATGGTGAAACATCTCTCAGTAAAAGTTAAGAGGCAAAACAAGCTGGCATGCTAGAAAGCATGCTATAGATACATAAACTCCAACAAAAATCAATGCCAAACATTTCTTTTCAGAAAACAAAAAGTGTAGGTTTACAGTCTGAAACAATTGTTCAAAAGCATCAGTATTTATTACTAGAATATATTAGTTTTCATTGTATGCAAAACTTTCCTTCAAGTCTAGTGTTATGTATGACAGATCAAACAGGTTCCAACCATATGGTACCAAAGACATGGTCAAAACATTAAGACAGTTCAGAGTTGGTAACAAAAACAGTAATAAAACAAAGTTGAAGCTGATAAAATCACAACAAAACAAGGGGCAGGGGGAGGGGGACATAATATCAATGAAATCTGAAATATTTAAGGAGCACTTGCTTTCAGTACTGAACACAGAAGCAACACCGAGGGGTTTGTTCAATCAAAATGCCTACCTCATAATCGAAGTGATGGATAAAAATGCTTCTCCACTGCTATCAACACTGGCCCCACTCATTGCAAATAAAGTACAGTACTCCAGGGCTCAAGCCCTTTTTGCATAACCTATAGCAATGAGGCTTCAAGATCCAATTTTAAAATTTTTTTTAAACATGTTAAGTGACACTGAAGCAGAGCAATAGCTACACAGCTACATATTCCAATGTGAATGAGCTTTCCACACATTAACAAAAACATAAAAAAAAAAAGAACTGAAGTAAAAGAGTTCAGTCAAGACATCACAATAATTTCAAGAGCAAAAAGAATAGGAGAATGCTTCAAAGAATATAAAAGGAACTTTTGAAGGATCTACATTACAACAATGAAGAAAATATCAATTGGAAAAGGTGTTTACATCCATGCCTCAAGATAACCAAAATAAATTCTCATAGTGACTCTATTTTTTTTTTTACAAAAAGAAAGAAGAAAAAAAAAAGACTGAACAGCAAAACGATTACTCATTGTAATTCTAACCTACACTAGGTTTAACACAAAACACAACATGAGGGTTGTCCTCTTTATTGCAGTCTGTTCCCGAACTTGGATGCCGATTTCTTTGATACTCAGGGTAAAGGGAGCAAATGTGCCAGTTCCTACACAACAGTGAAATTTGAAACCAACATCCCCATTCATAAGTGGACACTACCATCAGACTTACATAAAAACACTGCACCAGTAAACATGCAAATCATGATAATACACTTGAAAATACTGTCAAACATAGAAAATGTAGAAAAGTAGTACCAAAAATAGAAGCTAATAGTATAGATGGCAAAAAACCTCAGGATTTAAGGCTAAATAAAATGGAGATGCAACAGAAACAAAATATCATGATATGTTCAGAACAAAAGAGGAAAAAAGAAATTCTACAATTGGTGGGCCACTTACAAGTGATAATAAATAGAATGCTCATCACAGGGACCAATAATAATTGTCTCACAGTTCTGTTATAGTTTTGTTTTCATTAATGGGAAGGGGAACAGCACAATAAAGTAAAAGTTAAAAGCATGAAAAGTGACAACATTCTCATCATAACCAGGGGAAGCAAAAACAGTTGTGTGCTGGCTCAGACATTCAGATAGATAACATATGAGTAGATTAAGTACCCAATATAGTTTGTAAGTACAAATTTTTTATGTGATACATACAGCATTCGTTGAGAAGCTATGACAGCCTCAGAATGCAGGGATATACAGTTGAAACAAAAAAAGCCTAAAAACATGTAATATAAAACAATTAATGTCATAAGAGAATAGTCAATTTTTCACAAAATTTGATGTTGATAAATAAATAAATAATATTAAGTTCCCAGTAACGGTCATACTACTATGACAACGATGAAACAGAGCAAATCATTTCAGACAAAAATCATTTGATGTACCGTAAGCACATTATGAACACTGTTTGAATGTTCAAGGTCCACTGAAAATACTGATGAGGTAAATGTTCACACTTAAAATAGACTACTATTTATAAGCTTGCAACATGCCACCTACAAGTATGTCCATTACCAGTTAACCCAAATCAGACCAAGCTATCATAGTTTGTACGTAGAATTGACTTGATTTGAAGGTGTGAAAGTACTTGTACTTCCATCCTTGAATTACATCAATTTTGGGTTCACTTTGTCAGGAACACTTATTCAAAAATACAAGGTTGTCAGAAGATGATGTTTTTTAGCTGCTACAAGACCATGTAAACAAATAGTTTTCAAATTTACAGAATTTTCTCCTGGCTGCTTAACAGTATTTCTAATGCATAGTTATGATAATGAAACTGGATCACAAAAATACCTGGGTTCACTTGTATTAGCATAAGGAACAAGAGTCATTTAGACTCTGAACCCTTTGAGCCAAATAAAATTTTGGGGGAATATGGGCAAGTTTTACAATCATTTACAGTCTTCAACCAACAAAAGGCTTACTTTTCAAATTACAGTGAAGGGTACCAGCAAAGAAAAACATTCCCAACAAATCCTCATGAAGTAAACATAAAAATGAAAGGTGCAACAAACAGATCCACAAAGTCATTAAAAATTAGTTCATAAAACAAATTTGGTTAGGCTGCAATCGGCTGACTAATGTAAATACAACACGAATAATTTTAAGAGGAATACAAAACCCTCAGTTATTTACAACCTTCATTGAAAATGAGATGTAAAGAGGTGAGGAGACTGGAATCGCCCACTCAAGTGATTAAGTTGAAACAGATGCGGCTATATGTGGCTGCTACCCAGATTTTTGAAACTTTGCTTTGCATGGACCACAGACATAATAATTTTGAACTTAAACATAAAGACAAATCAGTATGCATACAGCAGAATAGGTTCCTTCAGTGCATCACATCTGTCCTAACATTAAAAGGCACTTAAAAGCTCGTGAAATGCCGACTTACCACCACCACTATCAAGATAAGTTTCTTGTAACATAAAGTAGGATGATGCCTATAAATGATGCATTTGAAAGGTCTGATTGCACTATGAATTACTAAACTTGAGGAATGCCAGGGGAAAACAAAGGCCTCACAATAAAGAAAATTTCTCAAAATGTTACAATAAAATAACTATACAAACTCCATCAACAAAGGAAAAAGAAAAAAAATAAGATAAAAACATAAAATGCTCTATAAGTTAATCTATTGTGAATCATAACAAAGATACAGATGTTCCGTAACTTTCTAAGTCAAAGGTAAATTTCAGTAAGAAAAAGGGGAAAAAACAACGAAACATGGTACCTAAATTTTCATTAAAAAGGGAGAAAATCCTTGTAAAGGGCAGTCCTGATGAATGAATAGTTCAAAAGTCAGCCGGACAAGTAAGCAACACTATCATATGTAGTTTTAATGCAAAGGTGAGACAGTAACAATACCTATATACACCCTGCATATTAAATTTCATAAAAACTGACAAAACAGATATGAAATGGTTAAATATGCTAAACTTGAATGAGTAGAAAACAGTACAACCAACAGAATTACATTTCCATCAACAAGATGCATGGTGCACTCACATGCACTCACATGTCAAGGTGATATAGATTCCAGTGTGTGGACAAGTACTACCTCCTTTGATATGGCACTTTCATCGGATAAAATTTGACGCCAAGATTAAAATGAAATTAATGGTCCTTTAGTAATAATATACTAATCTTTAATGAGTTAGACTTGATTATGAGAGGTTGATAAAAAATAGTCTGTAATAGTATGAAAGCTTGAATGAAATTGGAGCAAAGTGCATTTATCAGATGCAGACCCTTTCAGAAGTTTCTAAAAAAATATATCTGATAGAAAAGTGAAGCATAGGATAAAACCCTTTCACGAATATGAAGAAAATTGGCTCATGATACCCAGTAAGACAATATTGGCACATGGACTGTAGAATATATTGATGACTTAGTAGTAGTGGCTGAAATCTGCCTTGTCAGTTTATTTAAATAATGCAGACGTAGCTGCCACTGGGAGAATATGCCTCTGCTTTGATGCATTGCTTATCATACACAATTTGTTTCTTTGCCTCAAAATGAGATACTGGTATCTTGTCAAGAAACTTTGGTAACAACAATTACATTGTCCATACCGAAATTGGATGAATGCAAATACATACAGGAATGCAAGAAGCCTTCCATCAAGCAGTTGCATTGAAAGAGCCAACATGGCAAGCGGCACAATACCAGACCAGGCTCACTAATTACGCTAATATCACATAGGGTTATGTCCAATAAATACCTAAAAGGTTTAGAGTCACACAAATAAAATAATAAAATCTCTATGTTCACTCCAGTACATGTGAGAATGCATATGCACTTAGTTTTGCACATATGGAACACACATACACAAACATAGAAGTTAAAGAAGCAATCATCACATTACAAGAATGGATCATCAGAGGGTGTACTTAATCAGAATAAAGAGACAAATTAATTGATTTAGAGATTGACTGAATTTCAGCAAAGGCTGGGCAGACATTTCCTAATTGAGACATAACCCAAAAATCAAGCGGCAGTGAGCACAGACGCAAACTGACGCAAGCCCTGCCTACCCAGTCCAGTCTTGTGCCCCTCAACTAAAGCCAACCACCACCACTCCAGGTGGGGCAAGTCAACGTTATGAAACAGAATGGTTCCCTAATTGAAGATGCTGCTGCTGTTGCTGTTCCATCTGATGAATTGGATGGTGTTGATACGACAATTGCTGTTGCTGCTGCCGCCTTTCCTCCTCTTCGTCATGAGGGAGATGTTGAAGTTGGCTACTCGGACTGTTAGTACTGTTGTATGGATGGTTCGAGTTGCATAGGACAGAGTAAACAGATTCAACACTGCTAAGTTTTTCGAAAAATGGAATCAAGTCCATCAGCTCAGAGTCTTGCATGTCGTCAAACCATGAGGCAACAGGAACCTGTATAAAAACAAGATGAGATTAAACAGAGTAAATAAGTGAAATACTGACAAATTTCTTTGAGCGAATGCAATTGATTCTTACAGCATTATCTGGGTGGAAAATATATGAGGCAGGAGAGTTGTCAACAATTATAACTTTCTGCAAATCTCTGCCAAGTTTGTTCAGGTCTTTCACATAGTTGCCTCTATGGAAAACACAGGATTCTCTGAATAATCGAACCCTGAACACTCCCCATCTGTCCAGTAAATCAGCTACAGGATCAGCATACTGAAAATTACAAATTAAAGATAAAATTATTTGTTTTGTTTTTGTACACAGCAATTAATTACAACATTTAAAATAAAGATTGGTTAATTTACAGATAGGCCAATACCTTAGCAAGACTTGCAGTAAATAAAACACACTCATACAATTCACCCATGCGCTGAAGAAACTCATCAACATGTGGTCTCTTCAAAACATATACTTGGTGAACTGTGCCATCAATCTCGACTGGCACAACAAAGTCAGCATTGTTGATTGGCTGTAACACATTACAGAATTAACCAAAATATGAGCACAGATGTATACAAAAAATAAACAAATGTAAGTAAATTTCACTATGTACCTTGAAAGAACTATGCACCAATGTTTCATCCAAGTCAATCACCATGCACTTCTTGTGCATTTCTGAGGTTCGTACTTGAGGTAAAAGATATCTGGGTTGGCCAGGACTGAGCTGTGGAGAGTACCGGCCATCGCTGTCCACTGAAGCCTTAGTACTCGATCCTTTGGAACTAGCCTGGCCCCCGAAGCAGCATAAGAGCGACCGTAAAATGCTCCTCCGGGGTTTCTTCCCCAATTGACCTAAAATTGAAAAGAAACAGAAAGAATGAAAATTCAATAACATTTTAATGCAAGATTTTTATTTTGCCATGGACAATATTCTTCAATGGCATTCTTATGTAAGTAGGACAATTACCTGCGGGGGGTAAGTCATACTCTCTGGCAGGTACAACTGAAACAAAGGTAATTTTTTTGTTAGTTATGTAAATACTTTAGTTAAATGAGCATGGAAACTTATGTTGTGATTAAGCCCCATTAAATATTAGTTTAAGTGGAATGATACTGAGGGCAACATGAAGACATTTAATAGCAAGTCAAATATCACAGCTAAAACATATTTTTGGATCTTACACATGACATGCATCATAACATCACAAAGCCTACAACAGTCTTCCTCCCTGCCCCCCCCCCCCCCCTCTTGCTACCTTACTACCGACCTCCCCACTCCTCCTACTGTCTCAAGCTAAAATTAGACTTTGCCTTCAGCTAGGAGCTGTATACAGGTGGAACAATTAAATTGCCTATAAGGATACCAGAATAATTCTTATCAAAATAGAAACTATTTGTCCACATGTTCTCAAAAATTTCAACAATAAATATATTTTAAGAAAAGCAGCAGCACCAGCAAATGATTAGATCAGAATATAAAGCAGCCAAAACAATACACCAACCAACTTTAAAGTGAAGTATAAATGCAATGAAAGAAAAAGGTTGACAAATTCTACCAGTCAAAAATTTCAATCAATGGTGGAATGTAAAATTAAAAACAATTATTTTTTGTGCTGAAAGTCCAGAATTTTTGTAGATGCTTGAATATGAGATTAATCCAAGTCAAGTTTAAATGATTTCTTCAGAGATTACCCAAAACTTGATTGTAAATTAAGTTTTACTTTCAAATTACTATGTACTTTATTTAATCCATGGTGATTGTTTAGAACAAAAATGAAATTGCCTTCTAAACTGGAAATTAAGTTGAAAACAAACGAAACCAGTACAAACAAATTGTGCACCCTGATAAATGTTGACGAAGTATCCAAATAATTATTCAGAGGTTATACAAACTACTATTTATACATTTCAAAGTTAAGTGGTCTTTTAAGTTTCTTTCACGTCATTGAGGAAAGCTTAAAATGTAAATCTACGTAGCTGGGAAAACACAAAAACAGCAGCCTGAGGCAAGACGTTCCACTCACACTAGTATTGAGCAACAGTAACCAAAAAATGTAGCCAAATAGAGGCAGTTTGTAAACAAAATGACTTTCATACAACAATTGGAACACTGCTGCTGAGCAATGGAAAATGTGACCAATGTGTGGGGAAAAGTAATGCATCTGGAAATAATGAACAGGGAATCAAAACATAATGCTGATTTCGGATAGGGCAAATTTTGATCTCTGGGGACATTGTACACATCTGACAGAGTACCATTCAAGGAGAAGAGATGGGACGGAATGGGACGGGGGGTGGCGTCTGAAAAGACCAGAATTTCTCAGAACGAAACCGCAGCCAGGAGAGACTTTAATGTGGTGGCGAGCGGTTCGCAAGAGACATCAAGGGGCCAGGTTCGAATGAAAACGTCCAGGGGCTCGGGGCTTGGCACCGATACGATAAGGGCAGGGGCAGCCAGGGCAGGGCAGCTGCAGACAATGCTGGCCGCCCGCCCGCCTTCCAGCGCCCCGAGGCCGCGACAAGCGTCTGGGGATGCATTTGCCAGTGGGAAAATGCCCCAGGCACCGTTAATTCAGTCGCACAGCCTCGGGAAGAGGGATTTGGGCCGAGCCCGAGGCCTGCCGTGATTTCTCGAGGTAACAGGTGCACCGTAGAGCCTCGGAGACGCGAAGCGCATAGCTCACCTTTCTCCGGGAAGTTATTTAGCTGCTCGTCATCGCGTGACACCTGCGTGATGATGGACGACGCGTCCATTTAAACATTTGTTGGATTTCTTCGTTTTTAACTCAATTCTAAACGAGTAAATATCGATAACCATGAAATGTTCTCCGAGTATCCAAAATGGCAGAACGACTTGTTGTTGGGGGTCTCGTTCGTCTTCGGGGAGAACGAGGAGAAGCCGGTATGACGTCGGTATGACGTCATAGCCACCGTCATTTGTTTAGCTTGGCGCGAGAAGTTGAACCGATTTCAGCTGCAGCCGGTCAACAGCTTTAGACGTGCAGCATGGGTTTAGTTTCACGATGGGGGCAAGTTGCCAAATTTATTTTATGTTTCAGCATCCCCGCCGGGCTTTTTTACGGTGTCATCCCGCTCTGACTCCTGACTCCATCCCCACGGAGCCCCGCCTTGCTATCTGCCCCCCCCCCCTCCCCCCGCTTTTCCCGGTCCCCCCTTCCTTCCCCGCCTCCACACTCCTCCACTTTCAAAAGACCGTCACTTCCACACTGTCGCTTCGCTTCGACAAAAAAGAATTGTAGGTATTCGCTGTTGGTGAATGCGACCGGCATCCTTCACCTTGGTCCCTATCGCCACTATCTCCGAATTTCATTGACATTTCTGCCTGTTTCTGGTTTTTGTTTGGTCAAGTCTTCGATCGGCGTGATACAGCGCGGTTATGTTTACCTGTGGATTCGCCAAGCCTGATAAGGGCCGATTAATTGTGTTCACTGTTGTCTGTGACTTCTTGTTGGCAGGACGCACCGGACTCTCTGTACGCTCCAATCTGAAAATGGTCAATTTGGGTGACGAGTTTCCCAACTTTAAGGCCGACACTACTGTGGGACCTATCCATTTCCATGAATGGCTGGGTAATGCGTAAGTACTGATCAGACTATTTTTTTCACCCTTATCTTGTTTTATCTCACGTACACTCAGTTCATCAATAAAATATTTGCCTCTTGTAGGTGGGGAATTCTCTTCTCACATCCATCAGACTTCACTCCGGTTTGCACCACAGAACTGGGCCGAGTCTTGAAGCTGGCTCCTGACTTTGCAGCCCGTAATGTGAAAGTTATTGCATTGTCGTGTGATTCAGTGTCTTCGCACCATGCATGGGTGGCTGTGAGTAACAGAAATGTTTATCTTGAAGCATGTGTTTGTACCTTCTGCCTAATCAATTCATTACTGCAGGACATTAAAAGCTTTTCTGGCGACAACACAGAAGGCTTTCCTTACCCAATCATTGCTGATGAATCACGTTCGTTGGCTGTGCAATTAGGCATGCTGGATCCTCTGGAGAAAGATTGCCACGGGTTGCCTCTTACCTGTCGTGCTGTTTTCCTTGTTGACCCAAACAAGAAACTGCGTATGTCAATCCTCTATCCTGCAACCAGTGGAAGGAACTTTGAGTGAGTTTAAGTAGTCCATAAATTTCAAAGATTTTTCTTAAAAATTATATTTAATGTTTTTTCCTCCCCCTAGTGAGATTCTACGTATCATTGACTCCATTCAGTTGACAGAAAATCATAAAGTGGCAACACCAGTTGATTGGAAGGTATGTTCTATGTCTTAAATCTTTCTAGCTTGCTTAGGTCCTAAACTATCTTAATTATATTCATTTTTTATTCAAAATTTAGCAAGGAGGAACCTGCATGGTTTTGCCAACACTCTCATCAGAAGAGGCCGACAAACTTTTCCCAAAGGGAGTCACCATTACCAAAGTACCGTCTGGAAAGGAGTACATCCGTATGACCCCCCAGCCATGAATATCAGAACTCATGTTATGATTTTTCAGAGAGGAAAATATGTATTGCCCATTATATTTTATCAAGTGTTAGTGTTGCATTTTTAAAAGAATGTTTGTGATCTCAAAGTTTAATGTGATAGTGTCACTCTAAAATTTTGATAAGGAAGGATATGTTTTGTAATCTTGCTGAGGGCTGGAATCTTTGTGAGCTGTTTTACCTATTTGTATCTCTATATTTTTTTGAAGAATAAAATGATGATTTGATGTGAACTTTAGTAATTTATTTAAGTGGCTGATCCCCCTCCTTCCCCTTCATTCCCCCCACACAAGCAATAAATCTCTGTTCTTTCAACATAGGTTTTTTTTTCTTTTTTTTTTTAAGAAGATAAAAAGCACAGTGTAGTTTGCAATTCACACAGTAGGTTGTTCGATCTGGAGAGTGGTGGACTTTCTGACTAAGCAGGCGAAAAGGACGTTAGTGTTTTAGATTTTTAGATCCAATCTCGAGGGAAGTTCGGAACTTTGAACTGCTTTGTGCTTTGAACAGCATCCTCCCTCCCCTCCGCCCGCGCACCCACACACGCGCGGGAAAATTGTGTTTGATTCCGCCACCTAAAGTTATCATACCTTCTGTGACAGCAATTTCGCATACGCAACCGCACGTGTGCTAAAGCTGCAAAAATAACAAACACAGGAAAACTTCTGATTGACTGCTTATCAGCTGATCTGTTTTTAAGCTCATTGGTGCCTACTTGTTTTCGTGTGATTCAATTTGTCCCTGCATGAAACGCAAGAGGACATTCAGTACGGATATGGACAACACAGGTTCGTGTCAGTTTTATCGTTCTATTTGATTGTTATGTGACGATCTCTTTAACCTTAACACGTCTTTTTTGGAGGGGCCCTGTTTTTCTGCTTATACTTTTTAAATTTCTACTGACGCAGGGAGATCCTCTGTGACAAAATTTACATGGTCATGGTTTATTTGGACCAATGTTTTTCCATACCCTAAAATCTTGTTGGCCCAACCTTTCTCTGGGTAAATTGTACTTAACATATGCCTTGATACACTTGTATTATTTTTTAAATTCAATATCCAAGATGAAACCTACAAAACTTGTTTCTATGTGAGACGTTTTCCTCAATAACCATCCGACTGAAATCAGGGGTTCAGGTTGTGACACAAGTGTGTACGAACTCTTTATCTTTTTGCCCAATGTGTTTCAGACTCTTCCATGCTTGTTGAGCGCAAGAAGTCTCCAAACGGCCTGGAGCTTGTCAGTGCTTTTAGGGCAGGTAGACATGACCCCACCGACCTGGTGGAGCTTGCGCGAGAAATTCAACTGGTAGGTAGTCCATTTTTTCTGTGCTGCGTTCGTTTCAAATGTACTATCTTTAAGTATGTCTGGTAGGGCGAGCCATAAGATAAGAGTGTTTTCTTGTCGTCTGGTTCTCCACTTTCCTGTAACTTACATGGCACACAAGTAGCAGCCAGTCCTGAAATGGATTGCAGTGGCGGGCCGGTCGGTTCTCCTGTGTACGAAGGGTGGCCTACCCTCACGGCGCTCCGTGGCGTCGTCGGCACTGCCGGCTGGGTTGCCCGCCTGCCGGGCGCTTTCTCAGGCGATTCGGAAGAGTCTTGTGAGTGTGAGAGTGGGTGTGAGATTGAGTGCGAGGGAGAGTGTGAGTGATCGTGAGGGAGAGAAGGCGAGAGTGCGTCCAGGTGCGTCCAATGCACAGTGGGCTAGAAGACCGGTGGAGGCGGCCTAAGCTCTAGACGCGTTTTGAGCTCTAGAGTCGCCGAATGAAACTCGAAACGAGCGTGTGACCCCACCAATGGATTGCTTTCCGAACGAGGAATCCATTGCTGGGGTCACACGTTCGGTTTGAGTCCCATTTAACGACTCTGGAGCTCAAAACGCGTCTAGAATTTTGGCCGCCTCCACCGGTCTTCTGGCCCACTGTGCAATGGGTTGCCTGTGTTGCAGGCGGACAACACGGTGCGCGCCACGGCGTGCGGCAAGCTGCAGGTGATCGCGGAGCAGGTGCGCTTCCTCCAGGAGCAGGCCAAGCGCGTGCTGCAGGAGGCGCGCGAGGACCAGTCGCGCCACCACGCGCACTGCAACTTCAAGCGCGTCCCGGGCCACGTCTACCACCTGTACCGACGGCCCACCGGGGAGACGTACTGGTCCATGCTGTCGCCCACGGTTCGTATCCCTCATGCCGCACCCAGCAGCGCCCTGTCCCTGTTCCTCTCGCACTCGTGGGGCGTTCCGTTGTAAGGTCATATGGAAGATAGGTCGGCATGCATGCTCCCAGCATGCATCTCGGTTGGGCAGACCTATCTTCCATATGACCTTATTCCGTTGGGGCACGAGAGAGACAGCGCTGCACAGTGGGCCAGAAGACCGGCGCAAGCGGCCAAACATCTTCACGCGTTTTGAGCTCCAGAGTCGCTAAACAGTAACAGGACTCGAACCAAACGTGTGACCCCACCAATGGATTCCTCGTTCGGAGAGCAATTCATTGGTGGGGTCACGCGTTCGTTTTGAGCCCTCTTTAGCGACTCTGGAGCTCAAAACGCGTTCGGGATTTTGACCGCCTCCACCCTGACCAACAGTGCGGCTGTGCACCTGCAAGGCATCTTCAGCAGACTTTGGATTCCAAGAGTCGTTTTCGTCGCTCTGCCTCTCGCACTCAAGGGGTGTCCCGTAGAGATGCGAGAGAGACAGCGACGGAAATGACTCTCGAAATCCGTCTACAGTGCGAAACGTCTAACTTTGGTGTTTTTCGCCGTCCTGCAGGAGTGGGGGCCGAGCGCGCCCGAGCAGGACTACCTCGGGGCTTTCCGCCTGGAGCACGACATGTCCTGGACGCCCTGGGAGCGCATGGAGCAGCGCGCCCACGAGCTGGCGCAGCTCAACGGGCTGCTGGCCTCGGACGCGCACGGCGCCTCCCTCAACAAGGCCCTCATGATGGACACGAGCGGGCCGTAGTCCGCCATAGGCAGCCGCAGTGGCGACCACCACGATGATGAAGTTTACTACGTTGTAATTTCCGAACGGAGGCATGGGAAATTACCGGGGTCTGATTCGCTCTGCTGGCCCTGGCAATACGGGTATTGCCAAAGTTCCTACTGTAAATAAATGTACATAATTTTAATGTTATTTTTAAATTAAAAAGAGATATGACGTTTGTACGTGGTGTTATTTTTTCGAACACTCGACCTCAAGGCTGCAATAGTTGGAACCCCTAACTTAAAACTTGAAACTCCAAGACTCTAAAACCGAAAGGTATCACAGAGACTCTCAAGAGCGTTAAATTTGGACTGATAGGCGTCACAGGGCCTCTCACGCGCCTCACAGTTGGTCCGAAAGGCATCACAGAGGCTCTCAAGAGCGTTACAATTCGTCAGAAAGGCATCACAGAGGCTCTCAAGAGCGTTACAATTCGTCAGAAAGGCATCACAGAGGCTCTCAAGAGTGTTACAATTCGTCAGAAAGGCATCACAGAGGCTCTCAAGAGCGTTACAATTCGTCAGAAAGGCATCACAGAGGCTCTCAAGAGCGTTACAATTCGTCAGAAAGGCATCACAGAGGCTCTCAAGAGCGTTACAATTCGTCAGAAAGGCATCACAGAGACTCTCAAGAGCGTTACAATTCGTCAGAAAGGCATCACAGAGGCTCTCAAGAGCGTTACAATTCGTCAGAAAGGCATCACAGAGCGTCACAGGACCCTTGGGGCATCACAGCTGGCACTATTGGGGGTTCGTCTTGAGGGCAGTGCCAGGGCTGGTGTCGAGGCCCCGCCCCCAGACACTCTGGATATCGCCATCGCCCCCCGCAAACCACACCCCGGCCACTTGCACGTCTTCCTCGTCTTCCTCGCGGTCGTGGCCACGTCGTGGCGTGCCGCGCTCTAGCCCCGTCTCTTTCCCAAACTGTAACATGGCGCTTTTCGCCGCTAGGGTGCTATTTTTACGCCCTCCTTGAAGCGTACAAGAACCCCTGCGCCTTGCCCCCGGGACAAAACGAGAGCTATGCAGTCCCGTCAAACACGTCTGCATCATTTCCCTCTCGCCTATGGGGAGTAGTGTCTGGCGGGACTTTCAGAAAAACCATTGGACGAAACGAACATAAAAGTTCTACTATAGTCCTATACTTGTTACAAGTTTGTCACCGTGAACTGTTTTTTTTTTCTTTTCCTGGGGTGCCCCGGCAGTCTTCCCCGTTTCTTTTCCTCATCCCCTTACAAAAGAACACAAAAAACGGCAACCTTATTTGGGCTTCGGGTCACTCACCGATCCGGTGGCGGCAGGCCATCTGTCGCCATCTGGTGGTCAAGTCGAAAAGTCAGGATCGGGCATTGCCCGGATAAGACGTCATCTATATGTAGGGGATGAGGGGGGAGAGAGAGAGAGAGAGAGAGAGAGAGAGAGAGAGAGAGAGAGAGAGAGAGAGAGAGAGAGAGAGAGAGAGAGAGAGAGAGGTGGGCTGAGATACCCATAACGGGGGTTTTAGCGGTCGGCGAGACTGCCAGGGCTGCGCAGGGCTGCCCCGGACACCATGGAGAATAGAGGGGATGGAGGACCGGCTGGGCCGCCTGGCGCCTGCGTTTTGGACTGCCGGCCGCGTCCGGGGTTTGGGAGTACGCCGCGCGGCCACCACGCGGCGCTGCGATCGCTATGCCTCCACTTTGCCGCGCCACAGCACAGCGTAGAGCCTTCTGACCACTATCTTTACTCACCAAATTGTCCGAAATCGACCCCTTTTTGGAATGTCACTTTAAGTTAACATTTTATATGGGCTCCGAAAAGGTCCAGGGACAAGGCCGAATATACTTTTCCAGCGTACAATGTAAGTTTCTTCATGATAAAGCCTCATTGTCTTGTGGCCAAGTGCATGGGATCTCTGATGCAAGAAATTGGACAAAGTATTTGACTGAATTTTTTGGGCAAACTTATTGATGAGATTAAATCAGGATGCACTTCAATTTAAAACTATATTAGTACCTCACTATTACCAATGCAAACATACACAAACTGGAACATGATCTGGTGAGGTGTTTTTTGGGCTGATAAGACAATATTAGTACTCTCAACCAAAGTTTTACTTAGAACTTGCAGACTTCTCTTCCTTTGATTCTCTTGGAAAACTCCAGATTGGATGTGATATAACTGGAGGATAAATAGGCTGTTTAGCGGAAGAGCAAGCTAAGTCAATTTATACCAACGCTTCACTTTCACCAGGACCCTATTCTCAAAAATATTTAAAATAAAGTAGTGTAACATCTTTTATTATTATGATTGCCATCAGAGGGCTTGATTACATGTGCAAAATTAGGCCACTCATAGAAGAGCTTAGACTAGCCGTTTAAAGCCAGAATTCAGATTCGTTCTTGAGTTATGCATATTTACGCAAAAAATAGGTTGTTGCGTAAACCTTTATAACTTATGAATGATTGAGAGTTCAGGGTTCAAACTGGTGGTCTGATTTCAACTGATAGAAGGCCATTCCATCATAGTCAAACAATTTTTTTGGTGGAATAGATAGCTATCTGCACAGAAATATTTTGATAAACCATAAGTGTAAATAGTCACCACAAAAGTGAAAACATGTTAAATTATTACTTTGGTGATGTATCTGAAATTTTACTTTGTTCAATAATATATCTTTAAACTTCCCGAATTTGTGAGGCCAAAAGCTTTCTGTAATTGCATGCACGCTGAGAGCCGCTGACTTCAATGCAGGAATATCCAACTTACGTGGCACAATATTGCACTTATATTGTTCCCATATTGTTATTTTCCGTAATTCTACTCATATTAACTGGGACAAAACGGGGATATACTCTGATAAACCTTAAAAATGCAGCCATTCCACGCTGGTTTACATGAGTCTTCCCTAAGGACCCGGCTGGAACCAACCCAGAGTGGAGGCATAGCGATCGCAGCGCCGCGTGGTGGCCGGGCGGCGTACTCCCAACCCCCGGACGCGGCCGGCAGTTCATTTCTGACTCGCAGCCGATCCTCCATCCCCTCTATTCTCCATGCCGGACACCACGGACTCAAAGGCGCCGACGCACCTGACCGGCTCAAAGACCAAAGACCCCCGGGAAGCGAGGCAGTCATCAGCCTTCCGAACAGGACACCCAAGCGGAAGCGTTTCGGACCTTCTTTCGATGGCCGATGACATCAGCCGGGCACAAAAAAAAGAATCTTCCCATTTTTAATACATAAGTTTTCTCTTTTTTGGTTGAGAATTGCGTGAGGAGGGAGAGCGACCGATGGTGACCGAAAAGACGTCTGGGGTGAGGTACCGCTAACTCACGGGAAAGTTAGCGGACTTCAGTCTCGAAAGCGAATCACTATTCTGCTCGTAAAAAAAAACACTTTCACGCGCTTTATTTATCCATCACATGATACCTCTAGGAAAGTCTGAACAGCTTACAGTGGACCCTCTGCGAAACGACAGCAGGCAATCAAGAAATTGCGCAAACAGTCTAAGGGGAAATAAAATAGCGCACACACACGATCGCACGCACACACCAGGCAACTGTCTTCACCGAGGAGGCAATCAAGCGCGGATCTAGGTTGGAGGGCAGAGGGGGGGGTGGGTGACAAAACGACATTTACATTTTGGCCCTAGATAGCCGACTGAAAGGTAGACAGAAACTGACACTTTCACCCCTGCCAGTCGGCAAAAAGTGCTACTCCCCCCCCCGGCAGGCCGGCTCTGGATCCGCCACTGGAGGCGATGCGCCGCTCGTGCCGGCCGCTCGCTCGCCGCTTTACTTGCCGCTTGGCCGTTGGCCGCCACGCTTCGATGCGCTTGATGCGCTCCACGAGCCACCAATCCTGGCTTCCCCCCCCCCCCCCCCGGGTCAAGCCCGGCTGCCTCGGCCAGACGGTGTTCCATCCCTTGTGATTTCAAACCTCCCGTGTGGGGTGGCCGGGTCGGCCGTCAGAACCAATTAATGCAGATTTGGAGGGGGGGAGTGGGGATTGAATCCATTTCCAGAGACAGGGGGTTTGGTCGTGAAGCCATCCTGGGGTGGCCATGTGCATTCATGTCCGCATTCACTTTCACAGTTTTCATCGGCAAGGTGGACCTGGACTCCGACCCCACGCCGCGTCCCGTGCTGGTGGATCAGCGACATGGCCGGTCGGCCTTAAAGGCAGAAAATCGTTTGTGGTCCTAGCCACGTCAATAGGAATAGCAATAGATTAGCGATAGCAATAGCGATAGCAATAGCGATAGCACAGCGATAGCAATAGCGATAGCAATAGCGATAGCAATAGCGATAGCAATAGCAATAGCGATAGCAATAGCGATAGCAATAGCGATAGCAATAGCGATAGCAATAGCGATAGCAATAGCGATAGCGATAGCAATACCAATAGCGATAGCAATAGCGATAGCAATATCGATAGCAATAGCGATAGCAAGCGATAGCGCTAGCGATAGCAATAGCTACAGCAATAGCTGTAGAAATAGCTAGGCAGCGCGGTGCACAGGGCTGCTTACCGGGATTGCCTACCCGGCCTCCGCGGCGGCGAGAGCGGCAGACGATCATTTGTGGTCCAGCCGTTAATCGCAATCGCAATCGCCTACAGCGTAGGCAGTCCCGTCAAGCAGCTCTGTCGGCGGGACTGCCTAGCCGCAGGCTGGTTCCGAATCGTGGTTTCGCGTCGCTCTGTCCCTCTCGCTCTCGCGGGGCGTAACGTAGGAGTGCCAGAGAGACAGAGGGATGAAGCCCTGTTCGGAATCGCCTCCAGTGTTTCCAGAGCGTTGCTGCTGCACTGGACGAATCAGAGGGGAGAGGCGGCAGGGGTCCGCGCCATGCGACGCCGTGCCATGAGGGTGGGCACTCTGCTGAGGCTGTCTCGCCTGGCCGCGCTCGGCTGGAGCCCGGCTGGTGGTGTCGTCGCTCTGTCTCTCTCGCACTCATACGGGACGCCCCGTGAGTGCGAGAGAGACAGAGCGGCGGTCAGCCCGCCGGTCCGGCTGGTCCCTGATGGCACGGGTCCGGCACGCGCGAGCCGCGTGTTGTTGTGAACGCGGTGCGGTCGTTGGGGCTCAGCCTGTGTGACGGCAGGACACACGCACTCACAGAAGCAGGATCCACAAACCGTATACCGCAACACTTCGTGGATGGCAGCAGCCTAAGGCAGCGGTTCTCAACCTATCTCGGCTGCGA